GTCAAACTGTTTAGCTAATTAAAATGAGAATCTGATACCTTGCTAAAAACCATTCCATGAGGTGAAAAATTATTTTAGTACTCATTAATTTATGTGTAAATCTTTCTTGCTGCTTTTTATAGTAAAATCTCTAAATGGTTTACATGGAAAATATTATTTGCATTGTACAAAATCATTTAATTACATAAAAATATTGCAATACAAACACACGAAATCCTAAAAATTCAAGAGTACAAAATTCTGATACATTAATACCACTACTGTAAAAGATTATAAAAGTCACAGGAGTTAAAATAATCTGTAAATACAGGAACTAAACCCATCAACAAATTCATAGGAACTAAAACTGGATGCCATTTTTCTTAGTAGAAAGGCAGGGTACAGATCAATTTAGGAAATAAACATATCTAAGGAGGTTGCTTTGCAGGCAGGACACACCACCAGTTTCATTCTGTAAGCAGTGCTTACCATTCATGTAACAGGGATTTACAGTCTCCTTAGCTGGAATAGAAGCAATAGTGGCCCTGTCTTGCACAATGGCCCACTTGGATACTGCCCAAAATAGCATGTTTTCAAAAATCCTCAAAGGACAAAAGTATTCACTGAATTCTGAATTTTAGGCAATGTTAGAAGACCACTACCACCAGAAAGACTCCTTCTCGCATGGCCATACCCCTATCTTCAGATGGCTGAGACACTGAGAGAAGGGCTTCCATAGAGAAATCATAGCCATATATGGAGAAGGTATCCCATTGGGTATAAAGGTACAAAACACATAGGGATTTATAGGTCAAAAGAAGCACATTGAATTTGGCCTGGAGACAAATTGGAACTGATGCAGGTGAGAAAGAAATATTTAGGGACTATTTCTGCCTCTCCCTTCATTAAAGTTTCTCCCCATATTATTCTTATTAAAGAAATCTCTTTTTCCCCAGAAGCAGTGAGAGCTTTTTATCACCTGCGTCACCCCTTAACCTACCACCTTAGGCATCTTGTGTTGTGTTTGGAAAGTGCTGTGCTGCCTCTGGCTATCTACACAGATAACAGGGACAGCATTCACAAAACAGGAAGACTGTGCCATGTTTAGTTTAAACGGGTTATGTAGATAATGCATGCATACACTGCATCTTAAGAACTAAATAATCCCATTGTGTGCATATTTATAGCATCACTGTCAGTAATTTTCTGCACAAAGAAAGCCCTTATAATAAGAATTTAGCAGTTGTCATGAGGGTTCTTGGCCCCTTCCTTATTTTTGAAGATTATAGCCCCTTTACTTTTTTATATGCATATATTAGTTTGATTCATTGCATTGCTTCATCTTTTCCATTTAGCATTATCTTAAAAACTAGGTTTGATAAAAATGCACCAATGCCAATTCCAGTTTCCCTTCCTCATCAGTGTTATGTTAGGTTTTGAACAGCTTTTTGCATGCACACACATGTGTGTGTGCTTGGAAATATTTCAAGACATCCATTTGCCACTTCAGATTGCATGTGCCAAGGGTAGGCATGGCTTTCTGTGCCCAAGTGGTTGTGTTATCCCCCTGCCCCTTAATATGGCAAATCTTAGCATCTATGCATATATTAAAACTCTGCAGTTAATACATATGTGCATTTCATTTTATAAGGTCAGCAGGACCTTTGTGGTAAGACAAAGCAGATCCTGCCAGATCCATTTGTCATTTCTTACAGGGTAAAATTACCGAGATTTCCAGTGGAAGTACTTAAACTAAAGGAAATGTTTCCTTTAGATAAGAACCCAACAATGAGTTCAGAAACTGGAACAGCTATGAAAAACATAATGGGCCATTTTCTCAGCTCCAGTGAGTTTTTCTTCCTGACTGTCAAGGGGAGGCATTTGGGTTGAAAGTTAGGATGCTGAAGGGTTTGTTTGTTCTGAAAAACAACATAATTTATACTTCCTGGAATAATATGTGAATTGAAATACATTTGTCCTTCAGATAGTGTACATCTAAGTTTGCAGTGCAGTTCTCTGTTCAAAAACGTTAAAAATGCATATTTTAACATACATGAACCTGCCACGGATCTGCCCTTGTCTGTGGACAAGAAAGTGATATCCTTATACTGAAAAATTGAGAGGGAGTACAATTTTATTATTATATTTATATCCCATATTTCTTCATTTGCCAGGGACTCCAAGACAGGCAACATGGTCCTCCTTTTCTTCATTTTATCCTCATAACAACCCTTTCACATATGTTGAGAATCAATGATTTCATGACTGAGTGGGGACTAGGAGCTAACCCTTACAAGTACAACACTCTAACCGCACTACAGCATGATGCATTATACATAGGACTGCCTATGAAAACAGCCAGTTTCATGTAATGACTAGAGTATTAGATTTAGATACTAAATACCAGGCAAGGCAGGTCCCTGTTTAGGTACAAAGCCTTGGGCCAGTTCCCTAAACTACTTCACAGAGTTGCTGTGAGTATAGACAAGAACTGCATGTTTTGAGGGACTTAAAAGTTTCATAGCTGACATGCTTGGACACAACCACATTATGCCAGCCCTTGCCTTTTGGCTTCAAAGAAGAAATGTCCAGGAACAGACACCCCTGCAGTTTCTCCAGAACTAAAAGTTTCTCTGTGTACATTAATTCCCCCTTAAAATCTTTTCTATTTTATTTCAGCACAGTAGGACAGTTTCACTTATTCCTTCAAAAAGTCTGATCCGATATTTTTTTAAGAGAAAAATTTTAAGAATGTTAGCAATGCAGACACAGAGGTGAAATTACAAGTTCTTCCAGAATGCCAACAAAAGTGCTGGAAGACTGATGGAGTTTCCTGCCATATTGGGCTATAAAAATTCTGCCCACTCTTTTTTTGTTTTTCTTGGAATCATTCTATATTCTATATTTTCATTTTTTTAATTTCTTACATGCAATTCTGTAGGCATTGCAGGACAGGTATCCATAGATGCCAATGGAGAAAGAATTGGGGACTTCTCTGTAATTGCAATGACTGATCCAGAGACTGGAGGACAGCAGGTAAGCAAGGGAATAAACCTAATTTGAAATGGTAGCCCAGAAGAACAAATACAATGCTAGGTAGGGCAGAAAACTAAAGTTGTAGGTCAATGAATGCCAGGCCTCCCTGACTGAATTTAAGGGAAGTATTCACTGAAGTATCCTGAAAGAGCTAATGAACTGAATTTTATAGTTATAGTAGAATAGTAGTAGTAGTTATTAATATTCTACTCAAATGTGAATGAGGGTTACCTCTCTTTATATGTACAACTGAAGGTGTGTAAATGTCCAAAAATTACCTAGTGAGTTTCATGACCTTTTCTAATCTGTGGGACACCATCCCACTGATTGTGCCTTTGGCTCTGCCAGTTCCATCGTTTCAAAAAGCTTCAAATATTTCCTTGCTTCAAAATACCTTCAAGTTAACCTTGCTGTTGACTTCTGGCTACTGTATTGTTGCTGCTGCTGCTGCTTGTTGACTGTAATGGTTTTCCATGGAATATTCTTATTTTTCAGCTTTTGTTTTATACTATTTATTTTTGATTATTTATTGATTTATTAGAATCATTATTTTGCAGTGTTCTATAAGATGTGTGGTGAGGACCCTATCCTGGAAAGTGGCTTAAAAGCATCTAAAATCAATTATAAGCTTGCAAGCAGAGACTGCTATTTTAAAGTATCTAGAAAACTTGATAGCAACAACTCTATAATTCAGCAACAACTGAAAGGGAATTTGAACTCTGCTCTCCCTGGGCTAATTCCAACACAGTAATTGCCATACCACACAGTCTCTGTGTTACTATATTTTACAATTCATAAACAATTGACAGGTCTTAGAAAAGACAACAGCAAACACAAGGCTTCAGGAAGATTCAGGGATTTAGTTAGCTTAGCTTTTCTCTAATATCCATGAAACACATCCCTGAATATATTAACCAATTAATTTGCAAGCACTTAGACGAAAATGAATTTGCTACTAATAGCTGTCATGGATTTTTCCTCTCCTTCTCACCCCCTCTTTATTTTTATAAAGTTATCAGAGTCTAGTCAATAAGAAATTATGCAAACCATATAAGGTTCTTTTTTATGTTCACAATGCTATTCCTGACTACACTGAAAAAAGTGCTACAACTTTTAGCCTTCCTCAACCGGGCAAGCTGGCTGGGAAATGATGGCAGCAGGTAGAACTTTTTCCTGTCTAAATATGCATAGGTCTGTGCTCATAATTAGCATGGTAGAAATGCATAATGCAAGAACTTCCATATACTTGAGCACAACATTGTAAGGAGAATGAATAGGGGATACCATTCTTCAAGACAGAAAATTATATGAGACTGGAATTATTTTAGAGGATTGGCTGAAAACTAACCATGGTAAACAGCTCAAAAAGATGTGATACACTGGGGCAAAGGAGAGTGTTTTGACTGTTAGTAAAATGATGAAATACAAAAATTGCATAGTAGGAGTATTTATTTATTTATGTATTTAAAACTTTTGTATGCCATCCCCCATGCAAAGCATCTCAGGATGGCTCACAGGCAAAACATTAAAACAATCAATAAAATTGCATATATTAAAACAATCCAGTAGTAAAAGCAATAAAACAAGACTGTTGCATTAATACTAGTTTTTAAAATATTGGTTAAATAAAAAGGTTTTGACCTGGTGCCAAAAAGAGTATAAGAGTATGATACATTTATTTTATAGATGCTATGGTTTTCATCTGTATAAAAGAGCATTCAACTTAGATAAGATTACATGCTAGGAAAACAAAACCAAAATACACATATAAGAGATAACTGTCCAGGAATGGGTATCGTTCAAAAGAATTTAGGTGCCACAGTAAATACAATGAAGCAAAAGGTTATAAAGATGTAAAAGTATACAATACTTTGACCTTAGAGCTGTTGTGTCCCATAGCAGCACTTCTATACTGCCTCTGAGACATTTAGATAGCTGTTGCTTAGTGTAGGCTGGTATGCCAACCTATTTGGATTAGATATGCATGGCCCTATTCACACAACTGCCTGGACTGAGCCACTGTGGTACAGTAGTTAAGACTATGAGACTGACACTTAGGTGATCTGGATTCTAATCCTCACTCAGTCAGAGTACTCTCTGGGTGACCTTAGGTCAGTCAAAGTCTCTCTGACCAACATACCTCACAGGGTTGTTGTTGTGAAGATAAGATTGGGTGGGGGAGAATTATGTCACCCACCTTGAGTTCCTTGAAAGGTTAAAAGGTGGGATATAAATATAAGAAGTAAGTAAATAATGCATTCTTTGTGGACAGTCTTCCAAGACCATTCCATTCAGAATCCCCAGCTGCTACAAAATATGAGCCCTGCTACGTCAGACAAAAAGACAATTTATTCCAGATTCTGTTCCTACATTAGGCAACCAATTAGGCAACCAATATATATGCAAAACTCTCAAGGACCTTCTTCTATTCCTCAGCTGGTTCCAAGAAGCATAGAGCCTCTAATATTGGAGGTAATATACTGCCATCATGACTAGTAGTCATTAACAGTCTTACCTTCCATTAATTTGTCTAATCCTAACTTTTTAAAACCACCCACACTGATAGAGCAATGGCTATCTTATATCAGACAATTCCATTTGAAGAAATACTTCCCTTTATCTGTTCTGAAGCACCATCATTCCACTATGTTGCTTTATCCCATGTTCTAGTATTATGAGAGGGAGAAAAACCTTTATCTATCCCCCTTTTCCACACCTAGAATAATTCTATACACCATTGTCACATCTAGTGATAGGGGTTTTCCAGAAAAAAATAATGACAATTTGAGTAATTTGTATAGGATCATTTGCACAGGAAAATTTTTAACTTGCTTTGGGAAATTTTCTGATGCTGGAGTGGGCAACTTGGTGGTCTCCCTGACTCTTGGCTATGCTGATTAGATCTAATAGGAAGGTGGACCAAGTCATCTGGAAGGCCACATGTTGCCCTAAAGAGAATTAATTGACCATGCTTATTTTACTTGAATTTAGTAAAACTTAAAAAAGTACTACATCTTAATGTTTGTCCTAACACACTACAAATATTCAACTTGAAATATTTGAGGGGGAAAATTAAAGCATACTTAATGCCTGGGTTCACATGACACAACAACCTATCAAGGGTAACTAGCTGTAGGGAGTAGTTGTGGTATCTCAACCCAGACCACTTCACATAGGGTGGCTTATTTGGGGGCACCAAGCCACCCTGACAAACTATGGCTTGTTCTAGGGATTATTCAGTACATGATGGTTGAATTGGATTAGCCAGGTTAAAGTTAGTGCAGCGTAGGGCCACAAAGTTGGTGGCCGGTTTTCAAAGAAAGCCGTATGAAGCGAGACTGAGGGAACTGGGTCTCTTCAGCCTGGAGAAGAGGAGACTCAGAGGGGATCTATTGATGACATACAGGTATATGAGGGGGTGTCACACGGAGGTGGATAGAGATCTGTTCTCCCCTGCAGAGGAAAGTAGGATGTGCTCCAACAGAGTGAAGCTCAGGGAACCAAGATTCAATTTAGATGCCAGGAAGTATTTCCTGACAGTTAGGACCCCAGGGGTGTGAAATGGGCTTCCACAGGAGATGGTTGAGGCCCTATCAGTGAGGGTGTTCAAGGATAGGCTAGACATGCACATGGTAGGCATATTGTGAGTGCAGCCAGCTAGAGCCGGATATCAAACTAGATGGCCTGGGAGGCCCCTTCTGACTCGCTCTGTTTCTGTTTCTAATTGCCCAAATGTCAGTTTTGGGGAACAGCTAGGTGAGCTATTGGAGAAGAGTAGCAAAACTCCATTGTCTGTGACAGTGCCTTCACCAATGCTCAAGTGGCATTTTGGAAAAACTACAATTTGTTTGCCACCATTATTGCTGATTTGTTAAACTGCCCAGGGAGCCTTTGGGCTGATAATAATAATAATACTAATACTTCTTTTTCAGGTCCAGAAATATGTGCAAATATCTTCACTTTATTGGTGGTGTGCAGCTGGGGTCTTACAGCTGTTTAATATATGTAGGCTTGCTTGGTCAATGGCCCTGTAAGTTTCAGATGTCAAAAGAAGTGTAGTTGCTAACATAGATGACAAAGGTCAAACAATAACCTGAGTATAAACTGAACATCATTGGTAAAAAGAGGAAAGATGGAGTGTCAACAAGATCTTTTTCTAGTCTGGAAAATTTGTTCTTTTTGTTTAAATTGGGGAAATAGATGCAAATTTCCTGTCTGGGAAGTAAATGGAAGGAAAATATAATTTCATGACTGGCTAGTAAATGGAGGAGATAACACAAAGTTCACTTCCATTTACTTCCCAGCTGTGAAATGTGCATGTTTGAGTAAAAAAAAAAAGCTCAAATTCTACCATTAAACAAAAAATAAAACCTTCTTCAAAATGGCAGAATGGGAGGGAGCTAATGGGCACCAACAGCAGTGGGACCCAAGCCTCCATTGTGGCCATATCCACTCTGTCCCATTCAACCAACCTCTTGGAAGGTTTCTTGGGTTTTTGTTTTTTGGAAAAAAAAATCATCTTTTTGAAATTGTCAAAATGAAGTGATTAGACTTGGTATGAACCAGTCTGTATTACTTTATTGATAAGTTTTTGAATGTGTTTGTAATATTACATTGCCTTTGGCCACTAAAAATTGGATGATAAAATGGAAAAGGTCAGGTGAAAGCTAAGATGATAAAAGATCCAGAAGTCATCTGAAGAAAGCCGAAAGACACTGTTTGTTAATCCAAATCGTACAAAAATAAGATTGTACAGGAAGAATCATATTAACCTTAATCTCTGCAGATGTTCATGTGCAATTCACATCAATGACAGGAAATGCAAAAATTTCACAGCCTTTTTGTACATTTAGTGTATCCCTTCCATTTCCCTTCAGAAGGCTCTCTCATTTCAGACTGTTTTCTTTCCTTTTTGCATTTGTTGACATCATTCATTCTGCTAGGATTGCCCCTGTTCTCATTTCTATTGCTGACCCATCTTTGATGATGTTAGTGGCAGTGTTTGTTTATTTGGCAGGTTCCTTCCTACTGCTCATGAAAACTTTAGTTCCTAACTGGGAAGCAGCCAATGCAGCTTTGGTTTTACTAGCAAATCCTTATCTGATAACTTGGTGTTTAGAATATGTAGTTTATTTTTAAAAATAGAGCTAAAGTGAAATTAAATAAAAGTATCATTTAGAAGAATTTCAGATACAGTTGCTGGAAAAACAAAATAATTTAGAACAACAGAGATGAAAAACAGAACCAAAGTATGTAACAGAGCTCTGAAAGCCACTCATAAAAGTGACATGTTGCACAGCAATGTGGTGAGAATGGGAATGCAGGTCACTTTCAGGATCAAATGTGCCTACATTTCAGTGATGTTGCTTTTCTGCAAAGCAAAACCTGACAGGAGGTTGTTGCTGTTGTGCTGTATGCTTTCTTTTTATGAAGGAGCTCAGAGGTCCTCTCCATCTTATGTCTGGCCTGCTTTCTCCTGCAAATTTGTAGAATGGGGCAAGAAGCAATTTACACACTAATTATTCTGTTCTCTGCAATGACACAGAGTAGGTATTATATGCAGCAGCTATACCTCACTTCTGTTTCAGAGTAACTGGAATTGCTGTTTTTCCCCCAAACACAGGTTATTGGGAATTATTATGGCAAACAAGGGCGGCTTGAAATGTTTCCAAATGTAAATTACCCCTGGGAACACAAATCAGGAATAGATGACAGCCGAAGTTTGGAGCATCCAAGCAATACACCCTGCAAATCATGTAAGTTTAATTAGATTAACTTCTGTTTCCCAAAAGTTGTAACACAGAGAAGTCCAAGCAGGGGGATTGTCCTTGTTTTCTGTTATGTTTCTGTACCTTGATAGCTGTATTACACTAGATATCCATGCAGTGTTTATTATATGGAGTCCATTGATTGTAACTGGATTGGGGTTCATAAAAATATATGTGACAGTATTTCCCAAACTGAGAATGTGGATAAGGAAGTATTATAGTACTATTTCATTCATTTTTGATCAGGATTTACTCAGTTTGCATCCTCTGTAAAGATAGGGACTCAAATGTAATTTGTGGTTGAAGTTCATATATTTCCAAGTTTGAAATGTGATTCATGGATTGAAAAATGTGTTTTTGAAAATTTGTGTATGTTTGAAAACTGCACAAACACATTTTAAGCAATGGGAGAATAAAGTGTGCATTCAGAGATATACACAATTGAAAAAAACCTTGAATTTTCGTGCAAAAATACACACTACAAGTTTGTGGTCTGATACAGATGCAATATCAAAAGAGCTTTGAAGGGGAATTGAGAACTTCAGCAAACTCAGGTTTGCCTTGTATGCATATCCTTAACCATGGAGCACCAGCAACATGGATATCTGCAAACAGTTTCAAATATTCTCCATAGTTCCTAAATAGGGGCTTGTAAATTTGCCAGTATCACCAATAGAAGGGAATAGGTTCTGCCTCTTCAGGGTCTACCACCAGATGGGTTAAAATGGAACTGCAATGTCAAAAGTGCTGCATTGGAGTGGTACAAGAGGAATAGCTAAGAGCCACAACAGCTATGGAAGTAGTTGGGATATGAAAGTAAGGGTTGAACGGAGCTAAGAGTTGGTGCAAAGGTAAAACAGGCCACACTTTTATTAAATTATGGTTTTCAAATATATTGGGCATGGCATGAGCAAGTTACACCAAACATCCCAGCAGCCCGCCTTTTGTCAATGGTGCCCCTTTCACCTAACCACGGAAGAGCTGTGTGGGGGACAAGGGTTGACGTAAGGCTGCAAATTGCATCAGTTGGCTTTTCCTACCTCTTATGACCTCTTGTGACCTAGCTTTGGAAGCTTGCCAGCTACCAAAACAGGTGGATATGAAGCATTTTATTCAGAGCCTATAAATGCCCCCTGAGGAGGAAATCCAGTCCCTGCACCCCAACAGCTAGTTGTAATAGAGTTACCAAAGTGAGAACATGAAAGAACTGTGAAGCAAATATGTTTTCCATGAAGGCAAAAAGTCTGAAACCAAAAGGCTATGTAGGAATGTAGGTAAAATTATTTCCCAGTGCTGTCGCCCATCTACTGGTGATCAGCCCACAGCAAAGGAAGCAAGCAGTCAAAGGAAAAAGCTGAAAATTAGGGATAACAACAGAACAAGCAAGGAGTGTACTTGTCTTATTCCAGGTTTTGGGCCTGAATGTATAGCTCATAATCACACCCGAGGAGTGGAGCTCTTTCCACTCTGCCCTTGGGGACTGCACACAAACTGGCATGTGCATAAACTCCAGAATACAGCCAAGGTGGCACCTGTCCTTCCTTCACTGAACTCCAGCACAAGTTGAATCATAGTTTGAGAAACACTACATACAGAGGTATGCAACTAGCAGCCCTCTAGATAGTTTGGCCTACAACACCCATCATAAACCAATATTGGCTCTGTTGGCTTGGGCTGATGGGAGTTGTAGGCCAAAATATCTGGAGGGCCACAAGTTGTCCACCCTTAATCTACAAGCACATTGCATGCAATATCCATAGGTGGTTGCTGTTTATCCTAAAGTAACACATTATTGACTAAGAATTCTAGATAAGCAGTTACCTCAAGGCATATTACATACTTTGAGGACTAAAAAGCTGCCTCTCTTTTAAAAGCACTTAGGGATTGAAGCATCTGTAGTACAGTTAGCAATGAGTTTCACTGAATTTGGGAGGTTTTTAAATAAATCCCCCAAACTAAACATAAAGGATATAAGAAGTTCATAGGAGCAGCTACAGCTGAAGAGAAGGCTCTTTTGACCCCTAGACAGAAATATAATTTGAATAGATTGGTTCATAATACTATATTGGTCATTTAGTCATTGGTTCTGTGAGTTTATTTGTGAATTATTATAGTGGTTTAATTCTGCTTTTTCATTTTTCAAGCAGGTGGCCTAGGAGAGTCAGCAGTTACAGGAATTGTTGTGGGTGCCTTGCTAGGAGCAGGATTGTTGATGGCCTTCTACTTTTTCAGGTTGGTTCAGTTTTAGAATACTACTAACTGCATATATCTCTACCATACTTTCCTCCTTGAAATCATGTCACATTGTCTTAAATAAAGGAGACAGGTATTAAAAATGGGAACCCCTGAACAATCTTCATGTATAACAGAATTTCTGCTGGAGTCTGGCATGTTGTCTTCTTCATGAAAACATCTCAGCTTACCCCTGAAACTACACAATTGCATAGATAATAACAGAAGTCTGGATCAAGCTGTATACAGAATCTGCTCCAGCAATGTGTATAATTATAGCAGACACAGGCACAAATGGATCACTAAAATTGCATAGTCCAGGTTACATTTTTTCAAGAGGTTGTAGAACTGCCATGCCGTGGATATAGCAGAGTTTTGCATGAACTCTGCAAACGTATGCTTTCCTTTTTTGATTGCATTTTAAAATTAGCAAGTAAATAATGAAAAACATTTTGGATTCAATTATTTCGCTTAGCTTACTGTTCATGAGAACTTGTTGCTGCATGTAAATAGCAAGTTGATAGGCTATAACAAAGCAAATTTCACACAGCAAGTGGCTGCTATATACAGTGATTGTGATTGTGTTATTAAGATAAATTGGTATGAGTGATCCTTTATAATGCACTTTGTCCAAATTTTTTACATTTTTCATTTCCACAAAATTAGGTTAGCTTATTTTTTTCCTAAAGGCAGAGACTGCATTCTTTAAATTACATCAACATATTGTTCCATTTTTGACAGCTGGGACCTATTTATGCTCCTTTAGTAATTATGGTATTTTGTTAGTAACTTCTAAAGTGAACCAGAAGAGTCAAGTACTGGTAATGAACAAGCCTTTATCATGCTGTAAAATAAGAAAGTCAGATGGGAACATGTTAAAATAAAGGTGTTATGTGGTACTAATAATAGCTCCATGTAGCTCAAGATCAACATAACAATTATTGTCCTACCTTTAAATTAATAAGCAAAACAAATTGTTATGCATGTGCATCCTCTACAGAAAGCCTATTATGAAAAATAGCCTAACAATAATTAAGAAAAAATGGAACTTACAACAAGGTATTGCAGTGCAATCGGACAGTGTTCCAGCCAGCCATAACATCCTCCAAGATACTCCATTCCAGTTCCTTTCCCCAATCTTCTGATTCCCATATCCCAACACACACACTATCTATGTGGCCATATCACTTAGCATTTGAGTTTCTTATTAGTATTTTTGCTACTAACAAGAATTGGCACAGGTAAGAATTGGCACAGTAAAATTAGTGAGCCACAATGTTATGCTTGAATATTTCAATTTAACTAGATTGTGGATTGGAAGTTAATGCAGCATTCCTGAGTTCACTGGAGATAAAGAATATAAAATACAAATGCTCTTTAATATGGGACTCCAAGCTCTCTCACAAGTTTATCAATGGGAAGTCATGAACCAAGAATTAAATGGTTCCACTTTTTGCAGCCATAACTTCAAAGCTCCACTTGTACTTGATACTGGCTTCCTGATCATTTTGTTTTAAATTTGTGAAAGAAGGGACAGTTTTATCTGAAATAATTTGAATATGATTTAACTTTTTAAACTAGGCTGGCAGGCTCCAAGGCACACCCCTTTAATCTTTTGGCAGTAACATTCATTCATCTCATTTATTATGAGAAACACATCTGTCCTTCACAGACATTCTTTTGTGGAGGGAGTTCTGTTACTTATCTTCATCTGGAGGAGGAGGAGGTTTCCTTATTCTGTCTTTCTCATTCCTTTCATGTAGAAAAAAATACAAAATAACTATTGAGAGGAGAAGTCAACTGGAAGAATACAACATCGGGAAGCATCGGCAATTACGAGAAGACTCCATAAGGTCTCACTTTTCTGCTGCATGAAGTAGAAAGAAACAAATCACTTTTGTGGGGGAAGTCTATGGAAAATGGATGCTACCAAAGACAGCTACAGAAAAGAAGCTCATTAATGACTCAGAATTTTAAAAGGAGAGTAACTTTGTTTTATTTTCTTTCAGAAACTCAGGAAAGATTTATTAGCCACATTATGCCACATGGCCTTTTTATCTTGTAGAAAGGAAAATGGCAAAAGTGCAGTTTTTCTTTTGGCAAGAAGCTTTAAGCTGTTTATATTAAGGGGTGCTTCCAGATGAGGCTTTTTATGGCTTTGCCATAATTCACAGCCTAATTCTTTACCCTGCCTCATTCATGGAAGTTTATGGGCAACTCGATGTTATTACCTTGTAATTCTCTTGTGTTTTCTTACCACTTCTAGCTTTTTCCTTAATGCAAAAAACCCCATTGAGTAGAAAAATACAGAATGGCTGCAGAATGCCTTCTGATTGCTAACTGTACAAGCCCTCCATCTGGAAGCACCCTTGGACAGGATGCTCTGGACACCTTTTTTGTGTTTGGGAATGTGAATACATTTTCCTGAGGCCTTCTTCTGAACTTCAGATGGTCCTCTGTTAGCTGCATCTTACACCAGGTTATAAAGTTAATCTCAGAGACACAGATGCTGCTTCACTGCAGGAACATGAGTGAGTTCAGTGTTGAATAGTGGCGCAGGATGGGAAGGAAGGAAATGTGTAGCACAATACAGTATAATTTATAGGGAAATATGCATGCATTTGTTCCTGGAATGTAAGAAACCCTAACATTGAGGAAAGGAAGGATTTGATTTTAAGTGGACCTATTTACGCAAAACATTGGTTTTGGAGATTGTTCCCATAGTGATTCATCTGAAAAGATTCCCTTGCAAAAGTGTTTGGGATTGGTGTAAACAGGGCAACTGTTTGCCAGTGTTCTTAGGAAAAGACATTTGGTTTTATAAGAAAGCCTATATATATTACATTTTATTTTCAGGAAGTCCCCTGTCTGCATGATTGCTACAACCTGTGTCTAGGCATCTTGTCATAGACATCATTGTGGGATTACACACTCACTGGCACATGTCTTCTACTGTGAATCCTTTCGATGTTTCTTGTCTTAAATAAGTACAGAAGATTTGTTGAAAAAAGGCAGAACCTTAAGCCCTGGTCTCTATATAAAATAGCATGTAGTGATAGAACCTTGAAGTGGCAAAGTGGACTTGTCACTTCAGAGTGCAAGTGTCTGGGGGAGGGAACCATTTCTAAGTGCTCTCCTATAAATTCCTAAAAGCAAACAAAGCAACTAGCACTTTATAGAGGAAGATCCTAACTCTCACTGCTAAGCTGCACTTGAAAATATATCATTTAACATGGAACTTGTTCCAGCATTGGATTTCTCCCACCTGCAGTTTGAAGAGGTACACTCCATTCCACTTTGTCCCATCACAATCTGCTTTAGATGTAGAGCAATTCTTACTCCTGCCAGTGGCTGGAAATAGGATTCTGAAGCACCTCACCCTAATCATTATTCACACATGCATGCATACAGTTTGAAGTTCAGGTGTCTTTCCAGCTCCACCTCTACTCCCCTCCTTCCCTACCAGGTTGCCATGCTGGTCCATTAATCTTTGGTTGCCGCCGCTGATATTTAAGCTGGTGAATACAATGAAAACTTTGACCTGCACAGTTGTGTAGGTGTAATAGCCAAATAGATGACACAATCCTGGTGACTGCACAAAGCAGCTGTTTTTGAAAACCAGGTCATTACCCAGCAGTATGTTCCACTGAAACCTGTGGTAGTTACTTCTGAGAAAATGAGTATAGGTACAGGATGCAGTAGAGCATCCCAGCTACAAATTCTTCAACATGAAGCAAATACCCCACTGCCACCTTTGAGACCTGTGGCCCAAACTATGTACATATTTAATATCAGGTTGTTTTGTACAGTTAAAGGCAACTCAAAAGATTTTTCTTGCTGTATAAAATATGACATTCCAGGTTAACAAGTTATTATAGGTATTCTTATCTTCTATTTTTGTATTAGGAAGAAAGTCTATTTTTGGTCGTTTTATTTCATTTTGTAATGTCAAGGTAAAAGCACATTTGAGAGCTATTTTTCTTTTCTTTTTATGTGAATGAGCAAAGAACTTCTTAGGTGTATATAGAAGTATCTTTTACCTTGGCATATTGGCCAGTCTTCCTCCTCCTCCTCCGTTCTATGTACATGGCTCTCTAATACAATGGCAAGATTCCACTGATTATGCAGACATTTATGCTAATATTTCCAGATGTTCTCTAGCAAAACTTTTCCTTAGTATCCTATGACTTTGATCAGAACTGTACATGAACCTTTTACTAAAAAGTAAAAGAAACACACTCCTATCCATCTTGTTTTCTAAAAATGTTTTTACAGCAGTTTCCCCAACACCAGCAACCAACCCCAAAACTTTCAACTATCAAGAAGCTTTTTCCAGATCCTCTGCTGAGGAAGTCTTGTATGCTTGCCAATAAAACCAGCTAGTGACCGCCACAGATGCTATCTCTGGCACTCCCAGCCATTCACAGTACTTGCAAGATGCTACCTCCACCTGCTCCCTGCTTTTATTGTGGTCCCATGTCTCCCACAAGGAAAAGTGTTAGTTCTATCTCTATGTGTCTCCATTCATCTTTTGTCTTTTTGCAGCATACGCACTCACTACCTGTTGAACCCAGAACATTGCAAAAGATTCTGGGGCACTTTCTAGACCAGGCTATACATTCAGCTCATGCAGGAAATTGACCAATCAAGTTTGGCCTTGCTGATATCCTGTGTGAAAACAGAGTGTACAACTTAGAGCCACAATACAACCAACCTTCTGCTGTGGCTGCATTATAGGGGAAGATGGAGTACTAGCTGTGTTTCAGGGAAGCTTGTCTATTCTTGCTGATCTTCTTACTGAGGACACCCTGACAACTTCTATACCAGAGTTCCTTGGTAAAGCAGTTTTAAAACCACTGGTTTATATTGTAAGTAATCAAAGTATGCTTCACTAAAATGGATTGTGGATGCAAACATGCAAAAACATAAAAAATAAACAGGCTAATATAGCACAAGGTTCACTGTTCTTAAATTGAATCTAATGAAAAAAAGCTGAAACTAAAGCAAATTTCTTTGTCCAATTGAAATCAGAGCCTTTATACACTGGATTGTGGCCACAATATACAAATTGGACCCAGAAGGATGGTCTGAAATTTAACCTAAATACTACACAAGAACCTACATGTTCACACTAAGCCAACTGAAAAATACATTAGTTTGGATACACATTTTACTGAACTGGCAGCTTTTGTTTAGGGCATCAAGTTTTTCAGCACCATGCAGGCCTTCAGAATTGTTCACATTTGCCAAAAGAAGTCAGACTAATAAAAAGGATAATCTCATCAATATCTTCTATTATATAGTTCTTCTGAAATCAGAATACTGGTACAAAAATAATATCATGTTATCATGATATTGCACATGTTGTATTTTATAATTTACGTCACTGCACTGATAGAATTCTGGCAAACATCAGGATCTGCCTAAGAAATCAGGCTCCCAAATGTCTATAAAAATTTGCTTTATTTTGACAATATGGCATCACACAGATCTTGAATTCTGGTGAAGCTTATTCAGTCAATCACTGAGGTGTATCTCTGAATTTTTAAATTTGGAGCATACATATTCTATTGACTCACTCATATTCATTTTCAGGGCTAAAAGACCATGCTTTGGTTTCTTTCTTCATTTCTAAAGTACTTGCTAATTTAGGGTGCAGTCCTAAACATGCATAGGATTGCATGCTTAATGAACTAGTAATACAACCATTTGATCTTTATCAGAAGGATACTAATGGATCAGGTGACTTAAGAAACTTTTTTAGTCTCATCATTTGGACCTTTTGGGGCATGTAGCCTTGTATAAATGTTATGAAGAGATGAGCACTGGAACACTAAGGGTACGTCTCTATAAGCTTATATTTAGAGGTAGGTCCAATGGCTTACTCCTAAGTAAATGGGCATAGAATTGCATCTTAATTATTTATTTCCAAACTCAAATGCATAAATAGTGGCAGAATTTATCTACCCTTGACCACACACATTCAGTTGACTGAGTTCAACTGAAATCAATAAGATTACAGATAAGATTATATATGAAGGAGAGTTGAAAAGTTAGAAGCCCAACAGCTGAGACTGGGCTTGTAAAAATAACTTTTCAACCATTCTTCATAGGTTCTCAGTCACTAAAATACAGCATTTAGGCTATAACTCTATGCAAAGTCCTATTCAACTCAATTTACATCTGAGTGGACATGTATACAGTTGCACTGCATTTTCCCCTCTTATATTCCTCAAGACCATTCTAGACTTAAAAGAGATCCTAACTGCATGCAAAAAGAAAAAAATCCGATCTTTAGCAAAAATCCTGTATTCCTTATTTTACTACTACTACATTTTTTACTACATACAGTTTTTGCAATATATTACAAAAACAAATGCATGAAAAGCTACTTTAGTAAACATTAGAAAGTGTGGTAAAAATACAGGTATATTTGCAATTGGATTAACTGACTTCCCAAAATATCTTTTTGACCTGTAGATTTATTAGTTTACCAAGAACCAAAATGCCTGGTACGTATAGAAAAATGAAATAAATTTGTAGTGTTACTCAGTTAACTCATATAACACTAAGAAGTCAACAGGTTCAGTAGTTGATAGGGTTCAGTTTAGACCTAATCTTATTTAGAATAAATCTATTGAAATTATTGAAGCTTATGTTAGTCTAGAACCAACTGAAAGATGGATGAAATGAATCAAGTGGCAATTAGGCCACAAGTAAAGTACTCTCAGGAGTGGTACATTTGAAAGCATTGATAACAATTCTACAAACTATAGATATGTCACTGCCTCTAAATGCTGCAGGGAACTTTTTATCAGGAATGAGGAGTAGGCATGATTGGACAGCTACTGATGGCCACACCTAACAAGGGCCTACTAGAGTTGCTCTTACTGTTCACCATTTCACCCTACTTATTCACCTGCCTTTCAATGGCTTCACTTTGGTAAGGAGCAGCAGCAGCAAGTCTTGACCAAGAACTCTCCAAAACTTCCAGCCAGTACTTGGTGCAGTAAAGAGAATCCCTGTGGATTTAGCTCTAAGGAATCGGAAGAATAAATAGAGAAAACCTTCTTGCTTTATGTAGATGTCTTACCTTTGATCTGAAAAATAAAGTCGAAATGAGGCATTCTAAACCAATTAATTGATTTGTAGAAACTTGATTTTTTTCAATATAAAAATATTCCTTTCAAAGGGAGCTTGTTACTGTTGCATGCAAATATTTTAGCATATATAAACAATTTTCTTGAAAGGGATACCATTCACATTTTACATAAACCACTAAAGCTAATGATGTACATGAAGGGCAAATATTCTACTTTTTTTGAACTGCCAAGGTTTATATAGTAAGCTACAGCATTTCTTTTATGAAGATTCATGTGGAGCTGTAAAATATTTTTAAAATAATTTGCTTGCTTGGTGTTTCCATTGTGTAATTTTTTTCTAAAAGACACTTGAGCAAGTAAAGGAAATGTATTCCATTGGGCATTTTAAAAAAATCTAAGCTGGAATGCAGAAGGACATAGAAGTATACCTGATCATGGACATTATCCTTAATCCACATATTCCTGAGTTGCTACTTCCTCTGACAAGCATGTCACAGCACAGATCACATAACTAAATCTTTACAAGTATCAGTCTGACCAGGTGAGAACAAATATATGCTAAAGTAAGTTATGCTATCTTGATTGTGTTGAACAATGGAGGCTTCAAATTACTTGTCAGCCATGAGAAGCTAGTGGATGTCATTCTTGAATAAACTCTTACAGACCACATAAATTCACAATGTGTCCTTTATGTATCTCCAACTATCTTGTGCAAACAGTAAAAATTAATTGCTTATCAGTTATTAAGGATAATTATATGTTCATATTTAGTACTGTGTACTGCTTTGGATGCCATTTGGGCAGGTGTGTATTTTGTACATTCTTAAATGAAGAATGTAAAATCCTAGTGGTATTAACTATTCTCTGATATATCAAATTAGAATTAAGTTCATTGGGCGAAGAGACAGACTAAATGTTCCAATTTCATTGGCATACAAAGAACTATGATGTACAGAGGCCACAATCAAGAGAAGTCAACTTCATATGCTCACATGATTAACAGTTATATCTCTGGGCTTTAACCTTCAAGTTGCGTGTGTCAAACCACTGAATTACTTTTTTCTGCTCCTCCAGGTATGAAATAGGGAGGATGCATATGTAGATCTGTTGATTACACCCACTGTCATAGTCTTTCACAGGTGCATTCCCGTAGATCATTCACATATCAAAAGAAGTTTCCCAGAAGCTAGACAGAAATGGCAAGGACTGAGAGTAATGATAATTAAGCTATCTTGAGCCAGGCTCAGAAACAAATCTTGCTGATGCACAGCCCCACCTCAGCAGAAGGGACAACTTTTTAAAAGTCTGAACTTTCTTTCCTGTCCAAATCAAGATCCAATCAGAAAAGGAATTCCCAGCTTCTTCTTATGTCTGCCATTCTCCCATCAACCTCCAGACTTGTCCCCATACCCATCAAATATGCTTACCCCATTCTCTTCCCTATTTAAAAATTGGTGCAGTGCTATAGGTTCCATGGTCCACTGTGTACTGTCACTATGAAGGAGATGGAAGTGGAAAAACTTCTCTTTTTATTATTTATCTGCTGGCAACAATGACGGAAAGTGAGGGGGCAGTTTGCAGCAATGGGAAGGTAGCTTTCAGAGACTTTTGTTTAGAACCAGAAAACTTTTTTTTTTCAGGGAAACCTCCAAAAATTCCTGAGCCAAACAGGAAAGCCTTAGAGGGTTCACCAGTCTTCAAATAGGAAATAGTATGACATTATGTGCCTTACAAAGACTGCGGGTGGCGCAGTGGTTTGAACTGCTGAGCTGCTGGGCTGGTTGACTGAAAGGTCAACAGTTCGAATCTACACAAAGGGGTAAGCTCCCGTGCTTTGTCCCAGCTCCTGCCAACCTCACAGTTCGAAAGCATATAAATGCAAGTAGATAAATAGGTACCACTTCAGTGGGAAGGTAACAGCATTCCATGCACCTCTGTGTTTAGCCAGCCACATGACCACGGAGACTGACTGCGGACAAATGCTGGCTCCCTTGGCTAGGAAATGGAGATGAGCACCGCCCCCAAGAGTCAGACATGACTGGACTTTAATGTCATGGGGAAACCTTTCCCTTTATGTGCCTTACTGAAAAACTGATATGTGTACAGATCCTTCCCATCTTTCAGTTGTGGGAGCATTTCTGCACATGACAGTTGTAATATTGAGTGCTGCCTCAGAAAGCAATCTACAAGCCACTTAACTGCTTTTGCTTGTCATATTTACATTAAGTCAATGGAACATAAATGCGTAAGAGGTTTATACCCCAGTGCATGTCAAAGAAGAGCAACTTGGACCCCACATGAGAGTTGTGCTCACAACATGTCCCTATTTATATTTTAGAATATATTCTTTCATATGACTACTTTGCTAGGTTTTTCTCAAAACTCTAGTTCTTTCCTAATAGCAATACTGGATTAAAATGCATTTGTGAAAGGTGAATACACATTACCAATTATTGGAAGAATGTTGTCATAATATATATTTGGTTGGTTCCTTGTGCAGAATATATACAAAACTATCACAACATTAGAAAGAATCAGGATACAGATTGTGGAAGCTTAACATTGTCTTTCCTTCCCTGTTTTTGTGGGCAATGTTATGATTGTAGAAAAATATATTGGATGCTTAGAATTATAATTTTGGTTTGGTTAAAAAAAGAAAAATGGAAAGCTGCACAGTTGTGTGATGTAAGTAGAACAATTTGCAAATGATGTTATTCTATTTATTGTATTTCTTTAGAGACATAAGTCATGACAGTGGATATAACGTCTTTGTAATGTATTTTTACAAATTGCTCATTTCAAAGTATTGTTGGGGTCAACTGACTATTTAATGTGTACATTTCACATGTACATTTTCTTTTAAACCTTTCAGACAGTACAGATTGTCATATTCCCACAGTATAACAAAAGGCTCCCATTAAAGAGACAAAGCTCTACTCTCATCTGTTAATGTGTTCTCATAGTATTAGGAGGATCTTTGCTCTATGATCTGCAATTGTATAGTGCCATCCTATACAATGGGAAAGCAACCTATTTTAATTGAATGGCTGGTAGTTCTTCAGCAGAGAGACAGACACATTTCCAGTGCCAGCTAAAAAGCACCCACATGAGATTTTGAACCCAGACCATGCCATCAAACATGCTGTCCTTTAGCATTTAATGACATCAGCTATTTAAGTATAAATGAGTTAAGAAATACCATGGTAGAAGAAAGTAGCCCTTTCCCAGGAATACTAGACAGTTGCCCAAAATAACAGCTTGACATGGGTAGCAAAAACCATTCCTATATTATGGAATTTCAACATACATACTTAAGCCGTCTTGCCTGATGTGGGCATGGAACACTACGCCAGTGGTTCTGGTCATTCCTGGATAGTCAAGCTCTGTTCAGGCTTGAACACAAGTAGAACTCTCTTTAAGATTTTACTGATTCAACACAGCAAGGTCTGAACTGAAGAGGGTGGGGCCAGTCACTCAAATATGCATGGCTCTGAGCCTCACATGTTCAGATGGGTGCCTAAATGGGTTCAGTCTCACAAGCTATTAGGTCCAGGCACTACCTGGCATCAGGCTTCCACAAAACCCAGTTCTGATGCAAGTAAGGTGATGCTCACATGGGGCAAAGTCAGGAGGTGTGGTTGTAAACAAGCTAGTTCAAGATCAGGAAAATAGAAGGTTAAGGGCAGGAGGTACAGTTACAGAAGCTGAAAGTAAAATATCAAATTGGAAAGGAGATACTGGGGTGAAGTTGGTAAAAGGCAAGGTTGATTAACAAGTTTACAGATAATGAATCGTTAAATGAGCCTAGCAGGAAGAACTTTATAGGGTCTGGTATCTCCCCATTGCTCTGGGAAGTGAGTTCACTGTTTTCAAGCTGCAGGACAGATGGATCACAGTCAGCCAAGTCAATATGCAACCACACAATCTGGATATTTTCCTGACAAAAATGTCTTCTTATCTCAGTAAAAAACCCTGTTAAAAGAAATACTTTATTCTGACATTTGTCAAAGAAAATGATCCCATGGGGTGGGATACACTTTTCCCTAATACTTTCCCCTGGAAAGATGGACACAAAACTGCCAGGGCCACTTCTCAGAACTACTTACCACTCTCACACACACAGAGCTTTTCACAGCTTTGCTTTTTACTTGATAGCATACCATTTAGCAGCTATCAAGTCAGAAATCAAGTAAAAACAACATGCAAAATCAACCTATTTAAAGCTTTGTTTGGTCAGTGTTCATAGTACCTTTGACCTCAGGCATTTACCACAATACTGAGAAGGCAGGACTTTTCCTTTTAAGTCACCTGCAAGTGTGCAGTTGCGCACTTTCAATCTACACACAAAAACCCACAAACAAGAAAAATAGATGATTCACATGCAGCCTCTGTTTACTCATTTGATTAATAGTATTTACTAGATATGCATGGTAGCCCCACTTTGTCCAGTTCTTCTATCTTTTGTGGATCTCAACTAGGAATTCCCCCAAAATGCTTGTTTCTTGAACTTCAGGTGTTCTAACTGGTGAATTTTATGCATAAGCAACAAGTTCAACTTTGACAAAAGTTGAAAAAAAATCTTAAGTGATCTACATCAGTTGAGTGTTATCTAAAGGCCCATGGCATATTGCTATAGATTAAGCTTAGCCAAAGATTTCAGATTCTTATTCAACTTCTAACACTCCTATTAATGCCTGTCTCTGTCAGAGATAACCAAATGTCAGATTCATCTCCTATATAGCTATGTATGTGCAAGATGTAGAAAGAAGAAAAAGGGCAAATTTGCAAACAGTAAGACCAAGCATTCATTGTTCAGAATGATGGGCAAACCTAACACCCATTCTTAGGCCAGTGAACATTACTTGACCAGCCTGCCCTATCAGTTCAAAAAGGTCCTCTGCCTGCTGAATGTATATGTAGCCTTAACTTAGGAACTTGCTACCAGCTTACAAATCAAGGTGTGAAGTGACTCTTGCCACATTTTTAATATCTGCATTAAGAAAGGTGTACTATGGTTTCACATACAAGCACAATACCTTTTTATAGACGCTTCACATTTGTTAACCCCATTCCAATTCTAATTTTGAAAAAAATACATATGTAACAGTATTGATTTTTAAAAAATCTGGAGCAATTTGTTTAACACACTTCTCCATTTATTCTAATTCTCTGGCTTTCCTCAGTGGTTGTCTAGAGGGAGCTGGTGCGTGAGGGTGAGGGTTTATTATATGACCTTTTAGTCCCTTTTAGAAATTCACAATCTCCAATGTATACTGCTATGTGGATTGGCCTCATAATCCCCATTTCAAAATATGCCACATGTTTTGTCCATAGGTAAGTCATTGTTCTCTCAGATCCACACATACATAATCAACAACATGTTGGATACACAGCAGATAGCAATAGCTTGGGGGCATTTTTACAGCTCCAGCTAGTACACCAAATATAACCTTTCCTGTTAAGGTAATCTTCACCAAAGCCACCCATGTCCTAATGACTTCCAGCTAAGGCTACTGTAATGTTCTTCATATGGGACTGCCCTTGAAAAGGATCTAGCAGCAACAAAAGTGAAACTAAAGTGAAAATGATTATCTCAGCCTGCCTGTCTTGAACACTTGGAACTTTCTATACACATGCTAGGGATTTTGATGATGTCAAATGTTCACTAAAAAAGCTAGAAAAAATTGGCCTAACTCTTGATCACCAAGTGCATCTGAGAGGTTGTTTAGGCTTTCTGTTTGACCCTCAATAGCTAGAGTACTGAGAAGAATATGGTTTTGCTGTTCAACCTTTAAAATATGACCAGGAATAATAATGCTTAGAGAAATGCCATAATAAGATTATAGTCTGAAGTGTGCAGACTCCTTCACAGAAG